AGGGGGCAAAGGAAGACGGCGGCAGGATCCACGCATTCGCTCACCGAGCTGTTGAACCCAAAGTCCTGGGCGAAGGAGGGCTTGTGGGGGTTCACCCTCTGCGTGCCCGTGGAAAGTTTCTCCGTCATCGCTTTCTCCAGTCTCTCCCGGGCCGAAAAGCCGCTCCACATGCAGTCCTTGAGGATAAAAGCGCTCAGGTTCCCAAAGATCTCCCCCGTGTCTATGAGATACTCCGGCTCTTCCCCGGCCAGGCAGTAGCGGGAGAGCCAGTTCGACCTCTCCTCCGCACAGCAGCACCAGGCTCTCTCCCCCGGGGGGCCCAGGGGCGAGAGGGGCGGCGTGGGCACCAGCTCGAACTTCTTCCAGATGTCCTCGCTGGGAGCCGTGGAGCGGTCGGAGTCCTCCTCCGCCTCGTGGTCGTAGAAGTAGTGCTGGTACGAGTCAAACTCCATCTCTGCATGGGGGAGCAGAGCCTGGGGGCAGCAAAGGAGAGTTGGGGGGAAAGAAGCAAAAGGAAGGGGACACCCCCATGTCCTCTCCAGGAAAGGGACCCCTCCCCAGCCACCAAGGGACCCCCAGCACCCACCTTCCCCGGCGCTGCGGGTACCCGCCTGCTGCGGGGCCGCCACAGCCCGGACCCGCTGACCTCTGGCTGTGCCTCAGTTTCCCCATATGCATGGTGGAGGGGGCTCAGGAGAGCCCCGGGTGCGCTCGAGTTAGGGCAGCAGGGCAGTCAGAGCAGGCTTGGAGCTGGGCTTCGAGCACGGTAATGCACAAAGCAGCCCCTGGCCCCCATGCCACAGCATGGCAGAGCTGCCCCTTGCAAACCCTCAGCACCTCCTTGGGTGCCGCACAGCCAGCCCTGCACCCAGAGGCTGCAAACGTCACTGCTTTGCTTATGTGGCCGGGCTCTTTCATTCATTCTTTGCCCTCAAGGGCCAGCAGGCCCCGGGGAAAGCATCCAGGTCACCTCTGTCACCGCTGAGCCTGCTCACAACTTGCTGCGGGCACCACATCCTTCCTAGGCTGTGGGCACAGCAGACATGCAGCGGCATGGGTAAGATGCCCTGCTGCAGACATTCATGGTTCTTGGGGTGAACAGCTTATTTGGTTATCAAATTCCTCCCTTTAATATGATGCTGGAGTTTGCAAATTCCCAACCAAATTGCCTGAGAGGGGCGTGAGAATGGCACATAAAGAGATTTCATAGGAAATAAAAAACACAAGGTACAGCCCAACCAAGCCTCAAGCCCAGCCTCTCCCACGCACCCCGTCACCCCGCGTTGCGTGGCCCACCCCCCACGAAGGAGCTCCTGTCCCTCCGGGATGCTTGTGTTTCCACCAAAGAGAGATTCCTCCCGGGAGCAGGTCAGTGCCTGCCCGGGGGTGGCCGGGGGCGTGGGGGACCCTCGCTCGCCCAAGAGCACCTCGCCTGCCCTGGGCTGGTCGCAGCTGCCAGCACCTTGGGCTGGGGGCCAGGGCTCTGAGCAGGGTGGTTTTGCCTGGATCCCGGCCCAGGGCCAGGCGCAGAGCAGGGCTGGGGCAGAAGCGGGGCATGCTAGCTGCCGGCCTGTGTCCCGGGGGCACAGGAAGGTGAGCGCGCAGTGCACCTTGGCAGGGCAGGGCAGGATGGGCCCTGGGCCAGCGGTGCTGGCAGCAGCACGGTTCGGTGGTTCTGCCCTGCCACGGCCTCCCCCGAGAGGCGCCCCGCAGCCCCCCAGGCCTCGCCG